GGCAGGTTGAGCTATGAAATCACTAGTAAATGGGTGCAAACAGGAAGAAGACAGAAAATAATACATCCCATTAGGCTGAAAATGAAAGCAACTATGTCTTGCTGGGCTAGAAGCTCAGCCAATGCAAAGCAGGCTCCAGTGGCATGTTGAGTGATACCCATTGGAGATGAGGCTTGGAGGAGTTGCGCCAGATTTACACCATTGTCGGCAGATCAGAGACAAGTCTGTTTGCATCAAAGGAGGAATTATTGGCTCATTAATTCTGACAGGCTCAAACCGTTACCCCGGGTTTAATTTTGTCCTGCCACAGGAAAACAAGGACAGTTTCCCCTTGAAGGGCAAATTGCTCCTAAAAACCCTACATGAGATCCACTTCGGGTCAGAGCTGTCCCTACATCATCCTCTTATGCCCAGCTCTTTCACTGAAGGGGTTTCCCCGGCTGACAGTTCCCCTACGGTGGGAAGGAACATTGCCCAAAGACAATAAATAAGAAAGTGAATGTGAGCCTCTGGAATTTGCTTCCTGGATCGTTTCCCACTGGGCTGATAGTGGGGCTGGTGCTGTGGAGACTTCCATAGAGGAGGGCCATGAATGTGACTTTGCTGGGTTGTCTTTCCCCTGCTCGTACATTTCGACCAGGACAAACTGCCACTGCTGGGCCAGAGCAGCAAAGGTCTGCTTTTACCCTAGCCCTCAGTTGTGTCAATAGCTCTTCTCAGTTGACCCAGCCATAAATGAGGTCTGGGATGTATGGCTGGTGGTGATGGTAAGCACATGAACCTGCAGCCAGAGCTGTGCTGTCTAAATAAGCCACTAAAGGCAAGAGGACCTTTGGCTTTTGGAAGTAAATTCCCTCCAGACTCAGTGGGCTGGAGTAGTGGGAATGAAAGCAGAAACTGATCTCAACCATCCTTACTCCGCAGGGTTTTGTGGCTGGATGAACAGCTGAACAGCAGGGGCAGACAGGCAGGGAAAAGAGGAGGAAGCGAGAAAAGACCAAGAGAGATGCTAACTTTGTACAGTGTCTAACCTAATAAGAAGCTAGGCAGGCTGCGGACATGACATACGATCAGGAGGACAAGAGTGGTGCTCTTGGGTCACACCTGTGCTGTGGCTGTGAGTGACAGGGTGTTATACTGGCACAGTCAGCGCTTAAATAAGATTTGACACTTTCCCTGGTGACATATGCAGGACTGTTGTCCAAATGCCATGGGATAAGAGGTGGGGGGATGCACTTGCAATTTTTCCAGCATAGCCAGGGTCAGGGGTGGGAAGGTTCATCCACTGCCCTGTTTTGGGGGATGCAAAATGCACCTCTCTTCCAGAGCCTTGTGAAGGTCTAGTTCTACCCTTCTGCTTATGCCAAGTCTGTCTTGGTGCTTCAGGAGGAGAAGCAGAAGGCACGGCACTCCTCCTCTTCCCATGCTACTGCTGAGTCACTGCCAGCAGACCTAAGGCAGCTGCTAGGATGGCAGGAAAGGTGGAGGCTGTCCCCTCCTTGCTGTCCTATCTTCCCATATCCAGCTCAGAATATTTACAGCCAAGATTTTCCAGAGCTGCCCACTGGACTGGGAACTGGCTTTCCATAGCCAGCGATCTCTGAGCATCACAGCCTGTCTGCATCAGCAGAGCATTTCCAGCCGGCCTGTGCCCGCCCGTGGCAGCCTTCCCCACTGCCCAGAGTTGTGTGGATAACTAAGGGGGCTGCACAAAGC